ATATAGATATATGATGTTCGCATTCAGATAAGGAGCCTCTGCTTTATTTATTGGTTTTAGTTGTTTAAGTATTTTTTGTAGCAGATGTAACTAGTAATTTCAGGTCACAGTCATGTATTTTCTTAATGGAAGCCATCTACATAGAATGTGGAGGTTTAATTTATATGACATTTACTTGGAAGATTTGATGCCATTGTTTTTAAATAGAAACCCAAATCCCAAAATACAAGTTTTGTATTTTCATGCAGTAGTTGTGAAACATGGAAAGTGAATGTTGTTTCTGCTAGATAATTTAATTTTGGTGGTGTTTTCCATCTTTCTCTTTGTCTTCTTGTAGTTCTTCTATGTGTTTTCATGAGAATAATTGTGTCAAATATTAGGCAGTCCACAAAACCATATGCAGTGGCATATGGACATTGTATGATACAAATCTTTTAAAGAGGGGAAGGGTTGAAATACAAATCTGAGGAACTTATACAGCTTGTAGAAGTAGGCAGCACCTGTAGATGGTCCCTGCATTTGTCTTGGTAACAGAGACTGAGAAAACTAAAAATTGTATAGTTTGATAGTTTTAACCCTTTGCAACCCACATTATCTGTTAGTTTCTTAGGAGGTATTTTGGGGGTTAATATCACTTATCAAAGGGAAGATAGTAACATCAGCTATGCTAGACACACAATATGGAAGTGTGATGGTGCTACCTGGTCAAATTGTAATTTAATCCGTGTGCATTGAATACCAACTGATCATATTTTTTTTTTGTTTAGGCGTTCTTGGTTTGACACCAAATGTTTGGCTTCCTACTCTGGGTGTTTGCTCACCTGCTTACTTTTACAATACATGTCTTGTTGACTGATTCTTATGTTCAAGTCCTATCCATTCACCCAGTATCACTGCTCTGACTGTATCCTGTTGGATTAAGATTCCTTTTGAGTAGTTTTTCCCTGCATATCCTTGTATTGTCTTCAGTGCTGTCCTTAGATGTAATTTCTCTATTCATTACGAAAAAGAAATTGCTGTACTTTTCTCTTGAAGATTTGTAAGTCTTGTATCTCGTCTGCACTTGGCTACTTCATGCAGTAAGATTTTGCCATCATCACTAATCTTCTGAAGCTGTTGTTCCTTTTTATGCTGGTGATTGAGGATTCTCTCTAGCGTTGCTGGCTTTTGCAGTTTCTTGTGCATTTGGTTTGGTAGGAAATCTGGCTTGTGTGATTGGTAAGTTAGTTGACTTCTAATTTATTCTGTTATTTTAGGTTTTACACTGTACTGATGTTAAGTGGCATCCCTGTGGATTATAAAGGGTTTATTAATGTTGTATAATAATCATTTGTGATTATTGTTTAAGTAGCTGTAATTGTTGTCTTTACTTGCACTACTTAACATCCATGATAAATTCTTGAAAAGAGGACATTATGTAAAATGGACATTATGAAAACATGAGACTATAGTTATTGTATATGGGTGACTGTAATCAGCTAAATGGCACTGAAAATGCTGTGGTTAGGAGCCATGATACATGATGCAGTAGGATTTTCAAAATACATCTAAGAAACATGCAGTAACTTATATGTTGGGAGCCATGGATGTGTGCTGTTGAGTGTTTCCCAGAGGAATGGTAGGTAGCTCAAGACGTATATTATTTTGCTATTGTGGTTATTTTCATTATCATTATCAATATCATTCTTATTTTTATATAAATGTTTTTATTTATTTGATATCTATAATGAAGATAATGGTATCATAATTATTTTTGTTATTGTTGCTATTATTATTATTGTTGTTGTTGTTGTTGTTGTTGTTGTTGTTGTTATTGTTTTATCATCATCATCATCATCATCATCGTTATTATCATTATTATTATTATTATTATTATTATTATTATTATTATTATCATCATTATCATTATCATCATCATAATCGTCATTATTGATATTGGTCTTAATAATATTGATTATTATTAATGTATATGTTGGCATATAAAATAATCTTTGGTACACTACATGAGAACTTAATTTGATCATTATCATTATATACCATTAATATTATGAGTGCTACATATCTTTTTGATTATTATTATTAAAATTATTTTTTATTTTTTTTATTACAGGAGTTTTCTTTATACATCATTACTGATGTCATGATATTGAACAGTACTATGATTACTTATAGTTTCAGTAAAACCAGAGGTTCAATGTACTTAATGCCTGTTGTCAGTGGTAACAAGCCTGTTACAGTTACAGTTTATCTAGAAATGTGTTCTTCTCTGTACTTATTTGTGTAGCAGACATGAACTCTCTTGAGGTTGCTTAAAGGAAGCTTTCATGGCTGTAGGGTATTTTTTTTTAGCTCAGAATTTAAAAGTGTGAATTCTGGTTTGGTTTCAATAATAATGATTCCATTGACAGAAAATGGTTGTGTTGGGTGGATTGATTAGCACATTGGCTAGTTTTAATTATAACAGTTATACAGTGATGAACATGATTTTTTATGGCTTATCAAACACAATTAGATTTAGTGAATGACTGTAGTACAGTGATTAACAGCACCAATTAGATGATAAGTTACTGAAGGGAATTGCTAATATAGAAATAAATTACAGGTGACCTTGTCATGACTTATCTATTATGAATGAACAAAAATTAACATAACTTACCTTTTATATCAACATTACCTTGGGCTGCTTGGCTGACATTCAGTAACAGCACACAACCTCTCTCCCATATATACTCATCATACAGAATGGGAGTCAGATATTGCCGAGAGGGAAAGGGAGAGTGATACTGAAAGTTTGCATGTGCTAAATGGAGAAGTTGAGTGGAAGTGGAAAGGTGTCTCTAGCTGATATGTATGGCACTGTAGAGAGATTAAGGTTGAGGTATGTAGGTAGTTTGGTAGGTAGGTAAGTTGAAACTGAAACTGAAATTGAAATTGAGAAGAGGATTAAGAGAAGGAAAGATGATTAAAGTAAATTGACTTAGAAAACTGGAAGAAGTCGAGGTTGTGGTATGTCTCTTGGAGACCTGTTGGAGCACAACACACACTTAATGAAATCCATTAACTGAGGTGGAGTATATTATCATTTATATAAGATGTCTGTGATATGAGAAACAATTCACAGTACTATGATTACTTATAGTTCAGTAAAATCAGAGGTTAAACAATGTACTTAATGCCTGTTGTCAAGTGGTAACAAGCCTGTTACAGTTACAGTTTATCTAGAAATGTGTTTCTCACTCATGTACATATTGGGTAGCAGACTTGACTCTCTTGAGGTTGCTTAATGGAAGCTTTCATGGCTGTAGGGTATTTTTTTTTAGCTCGAAATTTAAAAGTGTGAATTCTGGTTTGGTTTCAATAATAATGATTCCATTGACAGAAAATGGTTGTGGTGGGTGGATTGATTAGCACATTGGCTAGTTTTAATTATAACAGTTATACAGTGATGAACATGATTTTTTATGGCTTATCAAACACAATTAGATTTAGTGAATGACTGTAGTACAGTGATTAACAGCACCAATTAAGTGATAAGTTACTGAAGGGAATTGCTAATATAGAAATAAATTACAGGTGACCTTGTCATGACTTATCTATTATGAATGAACAAAAATTAACATAACTTACCTTTTATATCAACATTACCTTGGGCTGCTTGGCTGACATTCAGTAACAGCACACAACCTCTCTCCCATATATACTCATCATACAGAATGGGAGTCAGATATTGTCGAGAGGGAAAGGGAGAGTGATACTGAAAGCTTGCATGTGCTAAATGGAGAAGTTGAGTGGAAGTGGAAAGGTGTCTCTAGCTGATATGTATGGCACTGTAGAGAGATTAAGGTTGAGGTAGGTAGGTAGTTTGGTAGGTAGGTAAGTTGAAACTGAAACTGAAATTGAAATTGAGAAGAGGATTAAGAGAAGGAAAGATGATTAAAGTAAATTGACTTAGAAAACTGGAAGAAGTCGAGGTTGTGGTATGTCTCTTGGAGACCTGTTGGAGCACAACACACACTTAATGAAATCCATTAACTGAGGTGGAGTATATTATCATTTATATAGGATGTCTGTGATATGAGAAACAATTCAGTTGTCATGTTTATATATGGCACTGGATTTGAAAGACAAAATGGATCCCAAGAATGATCCTCTTTGTACACTCGTATTGGAAAAGATAGGTTACTGAGTAAAGAAATTGGCAAGATTGAAATGCCTTCCTGTTTTAATATTATGAGGGGTAAATTATTGGCATTTATGGTATATACAATTTTTTATTCAGACATTTTAAATGGAAACTCATTATTTATATACATAGTACAAAATTCTCATGGGCAAATATTCTTCAGATTTTCAATATAACTAACTGCCAGCAGGTTATTCCATATTGTAAGGTAGAAATAAATGATTGCATGCAGATGAAAGAAATAGCTACAATATGAATGAATTTTCACTTGGGATATGTTTTTACATTAAATTCTGTATATAACATTTAATTTTATGATCAGCTATACAGTATTTAGTCTGTGGTTAACATTGCTTTAGAAGAACAAACTTTCAGTGTACATACTCGCCATGAACCAATGCAAGGTCCTGACTTCTGCTAGGATACTCTTGCTCCAAGCTTGCCTTTGAAGTGCTTCTTGAGAATGTTGGTGTCTTTGCCTGCTCACCCAGGGACAGTGGAGAAAGGTCGTCCTCAAGTCGGCCTCCGGGACGTGGGGTGTCTGGAGGGTAAAGAGAATCGGATGCTGCAGCGCTTGTACCAAATTATTAAAGTGCAGATAAGATTGTCTAGAAAGATGATTTGGAGTGGAGGGAATTACTGGCTGTGGTGACTGGCTCTAGTGAATGATTAAGATTAAAAGATTGTCTGGAAAGATGATAGGGGTATAGGTAATGAGGCCTGAGGGTTGAGTTGATGTCAAAATTTATCTTAAAGATGGGGAAAAGTGACAGATTGAATGATACTTGTTGTTGTTTTTATCATGTGTTATTTTGAC